AGACAGGCAACTGAGATCGGCTAGATTTGAGAAAGGGGTAAAGATTTTAGTAGATTAACAAAAAACCTCTGGGTGGATTTTTATCATTTTAGGGTGGTTGTGTACACACACTGCCAACACACATTTCAGTTCAAACAACTTGTAAAAGTGCATGTAGCATTATATGACCCCTTTAACAAGAATTAATCTATGTACCTGAACACCTCCAAACTTGAGAAAAATTTAATCATTGTTTAATTTGTATCTATGTTGTATTTATTTATTTGTGCTGTTTACACAATTTCAAACAGGGCCCACGGGTACAACCTGCACTGGGGCCCTGCAAACCCCTGTTATGTCCCTGCTCCCAAGATATTAAAGAGACCTTAAAGAAGCTCCCAAGACATAAAGGGGGTACTTGGGGGTAAAAATCTGGCAGGGGTCAGGATTCGGCACAACACCTGCACTTCTAAATTTGAATCTTTAGCATACAGCCACTTTTTCTTGCGTACCGGCACTTCTCACATGTTGCGTCACTGTCCATGAGCAGCAAAACCATCAGTACTAACAAACAATCTGAAAATATTTAGCACAAAAAAAATTTTTATTATTCTTTTTTTTTTTTTTTTCATTGTAGAAATTTCAAATGTGACAATGACAGACATCCCACGCTTCTCCTGCATATTGTTAGCAGCTCTCTGTTGCACGCCAATTATATACAACATCCCGGAAATCAAGCGAGCAAGAGAGAGAAGCCCTCGTTTCCAGCTGGTAAACATGCATTTTGAATGCGTCTCCTGTGACCACTTTCGTCACACTCTACATCAGTTTCACAGGAGTGCTAAGTGCAGTGCACAAATGCTATTGCATGAACCAACCCAGGTAACACAGCTTATGAGCAAACAGAAGAATTGAAAATTATTAAATTAAATTGAAATTAGCTGTGATTTAAATTTAAATTAGCTATCAGTTATGGAGCTACTCTTTTTTACATATTTACAAGATGTGGCTATTATTATATTATATTGTATTGTATTATATTGTATTGTATTGTATTGTATTACATTGTATGCACTTATATTATATTATATTATATTATATTATATTATTAAAAAATAACATATAATAACATGTGTCACACAAGAGAGTACCAGCACTTTTTTCCCCACTTTAAGCACCGGTGATATCTTAATGTAAACTGTGGAGAATTAACAAAACAACAGAATAGTCATGACATTAAGCCTCTTGTGTAAGAAACAAGACTTCCAAATAACTTGAGTGGTATTGTCATTATTTAGCTGGTAGGTATTGAACACAGAAAGTGTGACAACTCTAGTGGGTATATTTTTAAATCAGCAGTACTTGTAAGTGCATTTGGTTTTCACGTTATGGTAAGTAGATAAATACTGAGAGACAAAATGTTTTCATAAGTTAGAAAAGGTTCATCTGAACGTCTAACCTTTAGAGTGCTGTTGAGGGTTCTGATGAGATGTATCTTCTCATTGAGTGTCTGGTTTTTGCAACGCTTTATAAAGGAGGTTCGTAATTCCCATTTTGAAGATGGCTTCCGCTCACCCGTTGGAGACAAACTTGCTCTTTTCAAATGTAAGTACAACCTTTCCATCTCATCATTAGTTCCTTCCTGTCCGTCTAGAACTATTAAAACAATTATAAATTTTATAGCAAGACTTACGTTTAACCTAAGCAATCAAACTTTTAAAACATTTTTTTTTAATCATTGATAGACCTATAACAAAGAATTCTAATATGCTTCAAATTGATCAGCAGTCATGCTGAACAATGTAATTCCCAAGCATAAATCTGATGTTAAAATGATCCCTCAGCTTGCTTACTTTCAGATCTGGTGTCATTTGAGATCAGCTGCGTCTCTGGTTCCTTTGGCTCTGCGGATATTGCCATAGGTGATGTGCTAGATGAGCATCTAATGGGGTCTTGAGATGGAGCTGTGGCTTCACTACCTTGTGAGGTTTCCTTTATTGTGGTGCTCACTGTATGGACCACAGCAGAGCAGACCACTGTTTCACCAGCAGTAGGGTTTGCCTGGGAGACAAGGTCCAGCCAAGACCGTCTATGCTTTGCCAGAGAAGAGACAGAGCTGTGGGAAGTCATTGTACTGACGGGGGAGGAGAGGGTTCCAGTGGCTTCACTAGGAACAGGGGAGGAATATGGAGGAGGAAGGCTTCCCTAAATGGGTTAGATACAGCATAGTAAGGGCGTGATAATGGCATACTCTAAATGAACTTTTCCACAACATTCTAATTTATTGAGATGCACCTGTACGTCTTATGCAAATGTTTACAACATTTCAAACATAGTTCTTCTAGTTCAGGGGTTCTCAACTTTCCTGCAGATTTTAGCTCCAAACCTAATTAAACACACCTGAACAAGCTAATCAAGACATTCAGGATAACTAGAAAGTTGCAGGCAGGTGATCAAGGTTGGAGCTAGATTCTGTAGGAAAGTGGATCTTGAGGGCCAGAGCTAAGAGCTCCAGTTATAGATCATAGTGGCTTTGTTTTATAAAGCCCCCTTTTTACTCTCACATTAACCATTAACCTCATTGTTAGCTACCATACACTATGAAATGACAGACCACTAGTAGGAATGACTATACCACTGTTTACTAAACATGTTCTCAAAATGATGTTGTGAGCACAGAAAATTGGCAGTCAGTTCAGTGATTAGAAAACAGTTGTCTCTCACTTTCATAATCAATCTGTATGTGAACAATCATATTCATGCATTTTCTCTGATAGGATATCTATCTGATCGTGAAAAGACCAGGTGTAAATGCCCTCTGAAAAGAGTTCGAGATGGATTTAAATCCAATTGCTCAAACCACTCCAGGAGGTGGTCTGGGACTCATTCCAGATGAAGCTGGACAAAGTGTAAATGCATCTGAAGCCCTGCTCTCTCTTTTTGCGGTCTTTGAACTTGAAATTATCTGATGATGAATACAATGCAGCTCATATCTGTTACTTTCTTTGATGTTAACTCCATTAAATTAGCATATAGCATGGGATTTTAAAATTGAATTTATATCCGTTTGGTGGAGACACATTTATGTGGCCAAGTGTAAATGGAACCCGGTGTAAACAGGCCCTAAAACACAACTGGCAACCATCTTCTGCTGCTGTGTGAATGCAGCCAATATAAAAACAGAAACTTGAGGTTTGCAAATAATGTGTGGACAGACCTTTGGCATGAGGGCAAGGCCATATACACTGTGCATCTGTGAACTTACCTGGTGTGCAGTGGCTGATGGACCATTGAGACTTGCTACAGCTTGGGTGTGGTGCTCAGAGTATGGCGGTGGTGGTGTGTCAGTGGACTCCTCATGATCACTGGCCTCACTGTAGCATTCTGTGCAGTAGAAAAATAAAGATGTAAAAAGATGAATATTGTAAAGAATTATTCTAACACTAGTACACTAACTCACACAACTTACCAGCTGTATGAACCTCTGTGGATTCATACTGAATAGATGCCAAACCAAGTTTATTCAACCATCTGAAATCACAAAACATCAGAACGTTACCAACAATTACAAATAGGACTGTCAAAATGAATGTGTTTATACACTCGGTTACTGTCTAGCACCATTCTTTATAAATGAAATGTATTTAATCAATATTAAGTTTCCATCTACTATCTTTAGTCACATGCCTTTTCTAAAGAAACCCCAAAGATATGTCAGACAACTCAGCGTCAGTAAACTCAGACAATAAAAAAGTCAGAGTATACAACATTCAGTCAGAAACAATCATACATGCTGCTGTTTTGAGGCTTGAACTGTCAGAAACCAATTTGATTTCCCATATTTCATTCATAGCTGTCATAACTATTGTAGTAACATGGTAACCACTCACAGCACCTTTCATTATAATCAAAAAATCAAGTATTAAATTTCAACCAAAGAAACACACACCCCTAAAGGGTTGGCTCAGTGTGATTTTGTGTCACACATGGGAAGACGCTGACTCTAATTGTGTTCTGTGCTTATGCACTGAACCACATTTCATAGTATTTGGCCTTCGTAGAGACCCTGGGTGGCTCTCTGGAAGGTGCTGTCAACTGATCACCACCTGGTGGTGAGTTGGATAAGATGGGGGAGGTTGACTGACAGACGTGGGAAACACATTTTGCGAGTGAACAGGGAATGATTGGCAGAGGACCTTGCCTGGCAAATATTTAACTTCCACCTCTGAAGGAGCTATTGCTTCATTCCGAGGGAGACTGTAGACATGGAATTGGAGTGGGACGTGTCCAAAACATCCATTGCAGAAGAGGCTGCTTCAAGCTGTACCTGCAAGGTTACAATGGCACTATACTGAAGGCACTGAATGTGGTCGGGCCATCTTGGCAGACACACCTGTTTGAAAATGATGGACAGTGCATGGCGATTGGCAGACAGGTGTTTTGGTTCCCATATTTAAAAAATGGGACTAAAGGGTGTGTTCTATTTATCAAGGGATCACACTTCTCAGCCTAGCCTATCTGGCAAAGCTTATCCCAGAGTTCTGGAAAGGAGAATCCATCCAGTTGGAACAATGTGGACATTCGAGACTTACTGAAATGGTTTGAAAACTAGTGTGAAGCAGTGGGGATGAAGATCAGCACCTCCAAATCTGAGGACCGGACCGCCAGGGTGAAACAGGAGCTGAGCCCAAATGCAAAGCTCTCAATTTACCAGGTGAATAATGTTCCGACCCTCACATATGGTCATGAACTTTGGGTAATGACCAATAGAACGAGATAGTGGGTAGAAGTGACTGAAATTAGATTTGTCCACAGGGTGTCTGGGTTAACCTTAAAGGTATAGTTCACCCAAAAATTCTGTCGTTAATTACTCACCCTCAAGTCGTTCCAAACCCGTAAGACCTTCATTCATCTTCAGAACACAAATTAAGATATTTTTGATGCATTCTGAGAGCTCTTTGACCCTCCCATAGACAACAAGGGTACTACCACGATCAAGGTCCAGAAACGTAGTAAGGACATCAGTAAAATAGTCCATGTGACATCAATAGTTCAACCGTAATTTTATGAAGCTATGAGAATACTTTTTGTGCGCAAAGAAAAAAAAACTTTGTTCAACAATTCTTCTCCTCCTCATCCAGTCTGCTGTGGCTTGCCTCCATTTTGGGGAGTATCACGACACATGCGCGCACTTCCGCTTCATGTAAACAACAAGAATTGTTGAACAAAGTTGTTATTTTTGTTTTCTTTGCGCACAAAAAGTATTCTCGTAGCTTCGTAAAATTACGGTTGAACTACTGATGTCACATGGACTATTTTACTGATGTCCGTACTACGTTTCTGGACCTTGATCGTGGTAGTACCCTTGCTGTCTATGGGAGGGTCAAAGAGCTCTCGGAATGCATCAAAAATATCTTAATTTGTGTTCTGAAGATGAACGAAGGTCTTACGGATTTGGAACGACTTGAGGGTGAGTAATTAATGACAGAATTTTCATTTTTGGGTGAACTATCCCTTTAAGAGATAGAGTGAAAAGCTGTGACATCAGAAGAGACTTTGAGAAGAGACACTTACATCACATAATTGTGAGACATCCACACGAATGGCCAAATCCAATAATTACACATTTGATTGCTTTATTTTGTTTTTCTTAAAAAAGGAACTGAATGTGTTCATCTATTTCAACAGTTTATACAAACCACTACTTTGACTACTGTAAATACAATTTTGAATGTTACTAAACAGAATATATGTTTTTGTTTTATTTTGTCAGAATGAGATGTCAGTGGGCTTACAAGTTCATGTCCTCACTGCTGTCTGCTGCAAAGTAAAACATCATGACTTTGGGATGGCAAGCTTTGATTGCACTGTAAGAAACAAAAAGAATGTGAAGGGTTGTTCAGTTGAAAAATATTTGAAATGATCATAATGAGGACTATATTCTACTTAATTTGGAAAAAAAAAAAACAACAACAACTTTGTACTTTGTAAAAACAGAATTAACAGGAATTTAAATGACACTTACTATTTTTTCTTACATTCCGTAGCCCTGTCAATTACAAAATCCGTCAAATTTATAAAGCCTTCTGCTTTTTCAGCCTGGGGAAACACAAAAACACAAAACCAAAGTAGTCGTACATACCATGTATATGTGTATTATATATATATATATACCTTCAATACTAGAGAAAACTGTAGCGTGAAATAAGGAAGATGGAATTCGGCATTCAGATGACTCACCACTTGATTTGGGTACCAGTACAGAGAGGTTTTCTTTAGCACGAACCAATACTTTTTCCACTTAATACCCAGAAATCCCTTCCCCTCTTTCTTCCTATAAAGCCAGCCCTGATGGTCCACTGGCTTCAGCTCTTTCACTGAAACTCTCCTTCTGCTCATTCTTGGACTTCCTGTTAGAACAAATATTTCAACACCACAATAAAACAGAAATGATGACACAGGAAAAATACTTCTCATTCGACTACATCTCAAGTCGTTTGTGCAATGTGATACTAACCTCCACAATTCTTCTTCTTTGACTTCTGTCTGAGGGACACCTGAAGACAAATACATGAAATATGCTGGTATTATCATGACCACACCACGTCTCGCTATTATGATTTCAAACTTTCACAATGCAGACAAGAATATTTCATGTAGATTCACAAGAATTACCGGATTGTACTCATCAGAAGCCATACGAGGAGCAAGAGAAATGGGAAAGGAGGCCTGGTAAGAGATCAAAACAGACACAATCAAAGTGCTTATTAGGGTCAGTTTCAGTTAGGTCCCTTTATTTTACAGTGCTGTTCTGCATGTGCATACTATGGACCAGTTATTGTAATTAACCTTGAACCTAATCCCTAATCCTGACCTCAAGGTCACTATTAAACCAAAATGGACATTGCAAGGACCTCTTATCTCCAGCAAGTTGTCATTCACATGAAATCACAGCAATAGCAAACGACAATGATAACATTTTCCAGTTAATTCCCGATGGACAAAATCAAGTCCTTCCCCAAATTGTTTGCTAATTCGAGAAGCTGTTTCTCTCAGACATATGTCACAACAGGGAGGAAAAAGGCAAAAACTATTTCTGTTACATGCTGACTTTAACCTAAGTCCAAGTAGTTACTCAGTACTAGTTAGTGGGTAAGTACGCTGTAAAGTAAGTCCGCATTCTGTAAAATGAAGTGCAACTGGGCCACTGCTAAAATTTGATATACAGTACATTCAGAAATCACACTGCTCAAAAAATTTAAGGGTTAGTTCACCCAAAAATAAAAACTCCATCCTTAATTACTCACCCTAATGTCGTTCCAAACCCGTAAGACCTTCGTTCATCTTCGGAACACAAATGAAGGTATTTTTGATGAAATCTGAGAGCTTTCTGACCCTGCATAGACAGCAAGGGTCCTACCACATTCATGGCCCAGAAAGGTACCAAGAACATAGCCAAAATAGTCCATGTGACATCAGTGGTTCAACTGTCAATCCTTTTTGTGCGCAAAAATAAATAAATAAATAACGACTTTATTTAACAATTCTTCTCCCCAGAGTTACCATCTTCTGGCATTATCGAGAGTACCATGACGAATGCATGTGGTGCTGCTGACGTAGAAAACACATGCGCTGCACCTTGTTTACGGTTGTGGCTAGAAGGGATACAGCTGCAGCCGGAAATTAACAATAAATTACATTTTCCACCTAAACCGGGCTAAACTATTTTTCATCTATTTAACCTCTACACCTACCCCAACCCTAAACCTAACCCTTACAATAATGCAAAAACAAGAATTATTGTTGTACAGTGTGACAAAAAAATACGCTATATTGATGTGCGCATGCCCAGTAGCCACAGCTGTACCCTTCTAGTCTTAACCCTTGTTTACGAGCAGAGGAAAGCACACGCATGCATCGAGGTACTCTCGATAATGACTGAAGACAGTAACTCGGGGGAGAAGAATTGTTGATTAAAATAATTTTAGTTTTTTTGTTTTTTGTCAACAAAAAGTATTCTCATAGCTTCATAAAATTACGATTGAACCACTGATGTCACATGGACTATTTTGGCGATGTTCTTCGTACCTTTCTGGGCCGTGATCGTGCAAGGACCCTTGCTGTCTATGGAGGGTCAGAAAGCTCTCAGATTTCATCAAAAATATCTTAATTTGTGTTCTGAAGATGAATGATGGTCTTACACGTTTGGAACGACATGAGGGTGAGTAATTAATGACAGCATTTTAATTTTTGGGTGAACTATCCCTTTAAGGGAACACTTAAATCACACATTGGCTCTCGATGGATGAAATGTTCAAGCTGAAAATCTTTAGTCATATACATGGTGTAATTTGTTGAGAATAAAATGATGTGACAATGATTAATGGAAACCAAAACCACCAACCCTCTGAGGACTGGATTCAAAAAAACACCGATTCAAGCAATTCATAATACAAGTCAGTAGTGTGTATGACCTCTATGTGCCTATATGCAAAATGTCTGGGCATGCTCCTGATAAAATGGTGGATGGTGTCTCCTGCCAGACCTGGATCAGGGCATGAGTGAGCTCCTGGAGAGTCTGTGGTGCTAATAGCGATTTTCAGATGTTCTGATACACAACATCCCGAACGTTCTCAATTGGACTCAGGTCTGGGGAACATGAGGGCCAGGCAATGTCATCAATTCCTTTGTCATCCAGAAAATGTGTACACACTGTGGCCATATGAGGCCGGGTATTGTCATGCACCAGGAGGAACCCAGGGCCTAGGCTTCATGTATCTTCATCAAGTAAAGGCTTCCTTCTGGTCATTCTGCCATAAAGCCCAGATCTGTGGACTGTTGCACTGATGACTGTCTTTCTGCAATCATCGGTTCTTCGTCACCTCTCTTGCCAAGGCCCTTCTCTCTCAGTTGCTCAGCCAGGCGAGCAGCTCTAGGAGGGTCCTGGTTGTTCCAAACTAATTCCATTTAAGAAATATGGAGGCCATTGTGCTCTTGGGAACCATTAATGCAGCAGATCTTTTGTAGCCTTCCTCAGATCAACACAGTCCAATCTCTGAGCTTTGCAGGCAGTTCCTTTGGTTTTTCATCTAATATGTATTTTTAGCTGTTAGACCATAGACAGGTGTGTGTCTTTCCAATTAATGTCAAATCAGTTAAATTTGCCAGAGGGACTCCAGTCAAAGAGTAGAAACATCTCAAAGGTGATCCAGAGCTAAATTCCTAATCAGCCTTGGAGTTAAGAACTGAAGAATTGTCAGCAAAAAGCTGAACATAATCATTAAAACAAAAACATTACACTGGCATGGAATGGAAAACTCTTCAGAATGCCACAACCATACATATATATCCTTGCTTTATTAATCTGAGAGAAAAAAATGTATTCACAACAGAGGAACCAAGAAAAAGAGTAGAAGAGTTCACTGACCTAACAGTGCATTGAAACTGAGGATGGAAAAGACACAAGCTAAACGAAACCTATTGCTCAATTTCCTCAAACTGAGTTAAGAACTGAAGAATTGTCAGCAAAAAGCTGAACATAATCATTAAAACAAAAACATTACACTGGCATGGAATGGAAAACTCTTCAGAATGCCACAACCATACATATATATCCTTGCTTTATTAATCTGAGAGAAAAAAATGTATTCACAACAGAGGAACCAAGAAAAAGAGTAGAAGAGAGTTCACTGACCTAACAGTGCATTGAAACTGAGGATGGAAAAGACACAAGCTAAACGAAATCTATTGCTCAATTTCCTCAAACTGCTCATGTTCCTCTTTCAGGTATAACAGAATGGCAGAAACTTTGAAAATAATATATTCTACAATGCAATGTAGACTTTTTTACGCCTGGTATTTAAAAATCGTTGCCATAAAACGTGTGAAATGCCATACCTTTTCAACTGATAAACCATTAGCCATCATAATACAAGCTACAATCTATACTGCACTGTTTTATAAGTGACACGACAAATATGACTTAGGTGTCAAAATCTGCTGTCTATTTATGAAAAAATAAAAACATTTAGAATTCGATTTGTTTAGATGATTACTTAGAAGAGACATTTTTAAGATCTTCAGCCTGCAGTTGTTAACACTGTTCCATTACAGTACCTGTATATAATAATATATGAAAACATGATCTGTTTTACCTGTTCACCAGACTTGACCAGGTAGAGCGTCTGACCATCTGTTTTTATACTCTGAAATGGCATGTAACTGTCCTCATACCACACTTAAAATTAAGTGGTCAAGCCCACAGCCAAATCATTTTAGAGAAAAAAAGGACTTCTGCTTACGCAATAAACATTTCAAAACATCCTCCACTTCTTATTCAAACAGACCCGTAAACATGATCACATGAAAGCTGATTATGTATTTCTATACACATTCAGCTGTTAATGATGAATGGTGTTCACATGAAATAGAGATGAACTCCTGCGACAGAGACTTGCACTCTTGCGCTCTCAGCCGTGTGTTGTGTAGTCTCTGTTACCACTGTTTGCAATATTCATGAATGAACCAAAATGTCTGCAAAAAAGCTAGTAAAGAGAATAGTGCAAAAAGTGTGAGAAGACTAACACTAGTCACTGTGCTGATATAAGAGCAGTAATTAAAAAAAAGAGTCACTTTCACTCCTTATCGCAATGGTAACCCCAAAACTTCAACATAGCAGAACATCTAAAGAACAGAACATTAAACATTAACAAGTCTCCTTCTTAATTCACCTGCTCAAAAACACAAAAATAACAAAAAAATGTCAACAATTACTCTCTCTGTGCAAAGCCATTTCCAAGCCAATAGCATTTTACAATTTCAAATAGAATATTCAACATCTGTTTTGTCTTAAATCAGTCAAATTTAAGCAAACTGAACCAGTTGCAAAAACCCTGAACAGTGACTGTTATTAAATTGGCCCTTTTTATATTCCCGGGTTTCTCAGAAGTGGAAGCCATAATGGGTGAACTTCTATGATGGGGAATAGAAGACTACAAAACAAAAATCCACTATTATAGTTCCATGTATTTCCAAAGGATATTACATAGAAAAGTGTTAAAGGAGTGTTAGGTTACACTTTATTTTAAGGTATCTGTGTTACAGTGTAATTACACATTTAAGTACTGAATAATTTGAATTAACTACATGTACTATATGGTTAGGGTTAGGATTATGTAATTATGCATAATTAATTGTTATTATAATAGTAAAAGTGACTGTTATTAAATTGGCCCTTTTTATATTCCCGGGTTTCTCAGAAGTGGAAGCCATAATGGGTGAACTTCTATGATGGGGAATAGAAGACTACAAAACAAAAATCCACTATTATAGTTCCATGTATTTCCAAAGGATATTACATAGAAAAGTGTTAAAGGAGTGTTAGGTTACACTTTATTTTAAGGTATCTGTGTTACAGTGTAATTACACATTTAAGTACTGAATAATTTTTATTAACTACATGTACTATATGGTTAGGGTTAGGATTAGGGTTATTTGCATGTAATTATGCATAATTAATTGTTATTATAATAGTAAGTACATGTAACGTGTGTAACAAGAACAACTTAAAATAAAGTGTTACCGATAAAACTCCTTAAAACAAAACCTTTTTTTTTTCTTTTTAAAATTAAGGTGTAATAATAAATAATAATGTTTCAAAATATAAACTAATTATTTAAACAACTTAAATATGTTGGAAATGCACATAACTACAAATCCTTGTTATGTATCAATAGGTCAGAATGTTATGAAAATATTGAAGACATGTATATACATGTATACATATACTTTATAGGCACATGTTTTCAAGTCTTGGCCACAAAAAAGCTATTGAGCATTTCCAATAATAATAATAATAATAATAATAATCAATAACTAGAACTCACCACCAGAGGTCGCCAAGGCTTTTCATTGAGTTAAATTAGTGTGTGTGCGTGTGTGTGTGTGGTGTGTGTGTGTCTGTGTGTGTTATATATATATATATATATAAACTTTAGCCAATGTTAGAGCTGTGAGCGAAACCCTGATCTCTCCTGTCTGTGACTTCATGAGATTAAATCAGGGGAAATTTTCCCACAATGATCTGCACAGGTGATTGTCACACCGCTTAACTAAATATCCCCCCGAGGGCAAGCCATGTCACTGCCAGGAACAGAGGATCCATTCTTCTACTCTGTCTGTGTGCTGTGTTTTCAATGCAAGACAATTCAAGAGCTGCTTCTACAACAGTGTTTCTCACTGAGTGCTCAAGAGGAGGCTGGCACCAGCATGACCACAAGTCACTGTGTAAAAAAGATCCCTGTTTCCTTTAAATACAATATTCCTCTATTTAAGAACTTTGTAGAAATATAACATTCATATTCACACTTAAAATGCATTTGAAATAGACATAGGCCCTACATAAGAAATATAAACAGGTTGCTAATGAAATATAATAGATCTGCCGCATTATTATTCCTTAAACTGATAAATGACGGAAGAAGAGAGCTAGAGATGAAGCAAGAGCTTTCCATGTTGTGGTGCACTGCAACTCATGAGATTACTTCATGAAATACATAACTTGGTATATGCTTGTTATGCTACTGCTGAACAGCATCTAGAAAATAAAGTATATTTGACATGATCATCTTCTATAAAAACTAAATGGATTGGAGAAGAGAAATAAAATAATACTGGCTGCTGTAAAATGTTTTTTTTTTTAAGTTGTAAATAATGCAAAGATTAGTGTATATATTAGATATGCTTTACAAGAAAAACTACTTTAGTTTTTCCACTTTTCCAGTTCAGAATGTTTAGTTTAATGTTAATTGCGTTTTACTAGCAATTTTTGAGCAAATATCATTCTATAAATAGTTTTTTTTATTTTTATAAAATAAAATAAACTACTGTATAGAAGTGGTTCTTACCGCTTGAGAGAACGACCAGGACCGAATGGCACCGTTGCTGTACCTGCTGAAGAGATGACAGCAGATTTAATGTAGGAACAGGTATGGCACAATAAGCTATGTCTGAAGCTAAAGCAATAATACTGTAATAATATATTAGTACTGAAAGTAATAGTATTGAAACAGGGTGTTACGTTAAGTGGAAAAATCACTTGGTGTATGAAATTCATTTGCACAGATGAACTCCAAGGGCAGATCTGAGCACATTCTCATTATAAACTGAGAAGTGCTCACTAACACCGATTTAGACAGATTTGTGAACAATATTTGAGAGAAATAGGCCTTTTGTGTACATAGAAAATGAAAAATGGGGGCAAAAACAAAAGTGTTGCTATCTTATAGTTATCTTATTGCTGTCATTTCTATCTTATAGTTCTAGAATCTAGATATTTGATTGTCTCCTCTGTTATTTGATTTAGAGATTGATGCATTTTGCAAGCCTTTTCAAAATGTTTACAGCTTTTACATAGGTTAAATATAATGCAACCCAAAGAAAGCCAACAGTACTGAATGGGTGCATCATTAGTAAGACTGTCAAACGATTAAAAATGATAATTTCCATAGTTTTAGTGGCACCAAATAAGTTTCCAACACTGACACTGGACAGACAGACACAGAGCCCCTGACCAATATTGCCACATGGAGTTATTTTACAGTCAAAGTAATCTTTTTGTGGCAGACTTTGGGCCATCACACAGAACACATTCTTGACATACACTAATATTCATACACAATATAATATATTATAATATAATTAGTGCTGTCAAACGATTAATCACGATTAATCGCATCCAAAATAAAAGTTTTTGTTTACATAATATATGTGTGTACTGTATATATTTATTATGTATATATAAATACACACACATGCATGTATACATTTCAGGAAAATATGTTATGTTTATATTAAATATATTTACATATAATATAAATTATATAAATATATAGACATGTAAATATTTTCAAAATATATACTGTATGTGTGTATTTATATATACATAATAAATATACACAGTACACACACATATATTATGTAAACAAAAACCTTTATTTGGGATGCGATTAATTGCGATTAATCGTTTGACAGCACTAAATATAACATAATATGAGTAAATTTACATTCCACGCAAAGCCAGTGCCCATTGCTTATTTGTTACTTTACTCAGCAGGGATCAATGCATTTCTTCAATAAAGTACATTTCATTGAGCAACAATCAGATTTCAGATTTTGCGAGGGCAAACCAACAAATATGGGAAAATTGAAGAGGTCAGTATGAATGAAATATTAAGTGAAATTATGACGGTAAGTTGGAATGATAGATATAGGCAGAACACAGAAACAGTTAGAAAGATTGTAAAACCTTTATGTAAAAGGATAGGAATAGAGAATAAGAGCAAACTACTCCCTAGTTTTGTGAAGTCATTCACAGTGTTTGGAACTCACAATTGACACTGGGTTTAAAAATACAAAGCTGTAAAGCTGCCTTAAGGAGGAACAATTATTGCCAATTGTTAATTGCTTTCTGAAGTTGTTTTACTTTTTAATTTATTGTAAAATGTACCATAAGTTGTACCATGCTACACAATTCTTACTGTATGTTTAAGATGAGTACATCTTGGACGAATGTCACCAAATAGCTGTGTGTTATGTCATAAACATGATTTCATAAACATTTAAGATACCGTTTTACCTTGTGTGTCACTGCATACAAATCAGTAACTTTCTCTTGGTCCACTTTTCTACAGAGTTTTTAAATCTGTAGTCAATGCCAAAATATTACCGGTTACTAACTTGCATCCGCATCTTTTTAATGAAGACAACCAGATGATTCAGTGAAGACAATACAACAATCATCTGGAACAGCAGCTTTAATGGAAAGAAGCAACTAATGTGGTACAAAATGTAAGTGTGGTACAAAAGAGTTAATGTGGAGGAAAAAACAGCTTAGACCAATAGTTAATATGGCATAATCCCTTCTGCATAATCCAGAAATGCAAAATACTGATATAAAACCCAGCGTTCAGTGAAAACAACATTACAGCTGATGTCGGAGTTTAACCGTGAACATTTTTTGATTTATACAGTGCTAAATCTTATCTCAGAGCCTACTGTATGAACCTGTTACCATGATTCCTCAATCAAAAATGATTTGACATCAGCAATGGCTAAAAAGTATAGATTTTACAGTGACAAGCTAAGAAAGCTGCCATAATTTATTTACCCTTAATTCAAAACCCTTATTATTTTCCTTATTTTGTGGAACACAAAAGAGGATTTTTTTGAACAACGTCTGAGCTGTTCTTTTTAATGCCCTAAAAATGAAATGTATGGTACAGAAAATTAAAGTTTGGACAACCTGCAAAGCATAAACACCACAGATCTGGAACAACATAGGGTGAGTAAATGATGTCAGAATTCCTGTTTGAGTAAACTATACCTTTGATAAAAAATAAGGGGAAAAAAAAAATGCAGTAAGCATTTGGAAAAATATTCCTATCGATATACCCATGTAACGTACCACAAATGCAAAGCACAGTACCACAAATGTAAAAGATCAAATTTATTTTTCCTTTGGTGTAAAACAAAAATAACTTACTCAAAAGACATACTCTTAACACGCGAAGAAAACAATAAAATGTAACCATGATGAAACTCATAGAAACCTTGGAAAAAAAAGTTTGCTGAACCCTCCAATTACATCTATTGAAGGTTTTACATCCAGAGCAAAAAGACAAGAGAAACAACAGGATGCATTTGTTTCTCTAATTAGAAATGAGTTGACTAAACTGTTTGGAAAGACATGGGGTTTAGTGGGAATGGGAAAAATGA